CTAAACCCATATGGGTACAAGATGGCTGTTCAAGTGATCTCTAAGAGACTTCAGACTTCACCTAACTTCTATGCTAAATGACACATCCCTTATCATTATTGTTTACAATCTCCATGGCAGCAATTGGAAGGACCATTTAAAGAAGGTAAATGGGAGTGCTTAGGTTCCTATAAAACTGGTCCCCTCCTGGGAACCTAATGAATATTTTCCTTCCTAGTTTCCTCTGCTCAGTCACCACGACTCCACACCACGTGTGGGTTGGGAAGCTGACTTATGATCTAGGCTCCTGCTTCTTTTTGGCCACTGGGCAAGCCTGTGCTGTTGGTGCTGAGCTTTTGTTTGTCTTTGCTATTCTGAATAGAAAATAAAGCATTGTGGGGGAGGTTCTCTGTCTCTTAGGAGAGGGTGATTCATATATCTGTATCCTTCCATACATCTCTTCATCTGTGTCCTCTGTAATATTCTGCATAGCAAGTAGGGAGATAGATGAATTTCCCCCGAGGTGTGTCAGTGGCTCCAATGAAGGAAATTAGCTGGACCTAAGGAGGGTCTTGCAGGACCTGGAGTGACTAGTATTCAGTTCATTAGAAGCACAGGTAAGACAGCTGATGAAGGAACTTGTGGTTGGCTTCTGAAGTAGGCGGAGGACCAGCCTTGGGACTAAAACCTCCCTTGGCCTGTGTCATCTGTGAGGCTTCCTGTCAGATCACATGGGAAATGCTAAGTGGGGGTGGGGGCGGGGGTGGGGGAGAAGGAGTAGCTTCAGGACTGGTTGCTTGGTGGGCAGGAAAGACCTTTCTATGCCTGGAGTCTGAAATCTGTTGTGAGGGTGTAGCGCGATTCTCTTCTATAGAGAATGGATTGTCTTTTCCATCTCTGTTGCGTATTGGCTGACTTTATTGGACTGCCTGGGCCTGGCCTGAACATGGAATATGGATTTCTCTGGAAAGGCTGCACAGGTACCTTCTTGCATCCCCCCCCCCCCCCTTTGGTACAGAGGAAAGAGTAGCTGTGCTCTTTGGTTCCAGCGGGGAATAATTGTTCTTCGCATCTCACCTTGAGAATTACCAGGGGCCCTGGGGCTTTAGACATTGAATGTGTTTTGGGTAATTATGGCTGTTGTTCTCCCCAGTGCTCTCATTTTCTCCCATGTTATTGAGCAAGGCCTTTCGTCTGGCACAGAGAAACCTATGCTACGGCACTGGGGTTTCGTGAAAAAGGAAAAAGCTTTCCTGTGTGAGAAACTTGTGGGAGGTCAGGAGTCGAAAACAAGCTTAAATTTGTCTCATGTGGCCACTTGGTGGTAAGCAGCTAACGGGACACTGGCAGGCACGCAGGACATGGATCTCACAGGAAGACTTTACTGAAGCTGCAGGACTCCTATTGCTCATCAGAATAGCGGGTCTTGCATCTTAGCTCTGGCGCTGAGATGAGACTTTTCATCCTCCCTGCACAGAAGATCGTTACTAGATGATTGTCTCAATGCAGCTCCAGGAGTCTTAAGCTGAATAAGATTAGCATTTAGCGGGTTTTCTGATAAAGTTGATCCAAATAGGCCTGTCAGTCACCTGCTCAGGACAAAGTCCAGGGGGGAAGCTGCTTGCTCTGAAGGGTTTAGAAATAATATACGAACTGCCTAAAATGTGGATTGGCACACCAGTCCCTCTCACCCCTTGCGAGTTTGCTCTACTTTACAATAAACTCTGTGTGGCTGTGTCTCATCTGAATTCTTCTTACAGAGATCACAGAGACTAGGAGAGCAAGGGAGGGTCAGAGATTGCCAGGGATAGCTGCTCTGGGGAAATTTACAGGACAGAAGAGAAGAAAGCTGCTTGCTGATTGGATGCTGAGAGCCTGAAGCTTCAGGTCCTGTGCAGACTGCAGTGGTCATTATACCTCTACACGGGTCTTGTGGTTTCTGTGTGTAGAGTTAGTTGGGTTCCTCACCAGGGTGAAGGGATAGAGTTGGAGGGCGTTGAACATGTGACACCAAAACGTCATTGCCTGGCTTATCTGGCTTCCTCTGCATTTGCCCATTCTTTGTAAAACATCGTAAGTGTTAGTGTGTGGATTGGACAAATGAATGGTTGGACTCACTTGGACATTTCAGATCATGTGAATAGCATCCATGGTGCACACTCCATGCCTGAAAAGTCGATATTAAGCCATACATGGATTCTGGAAATTGTTGCTGAAAATCAAACTAAGAACATTGTTACTTAAGGAGTTTATGACCCAGTGTCTAAGCATTAGCCTGCTTCACACCTGTAAGTGAACAGAGCCTGTAGAATTACCTTCTGTCCTCTCTTGTCACTTAGTATCTGAGCTGTTGGGAGATTTTCAGAAGCAACCTGAAGACACCATACTCAGTACAGAGGAGGTCTCTTGTTAAGGCTGTCCGGGGGTTATCTGGGATCATGGCTATTATCCACCCTACCTTACCAGCCCCTCACCCCCACTCCCAGACTACCACAGCCAGTGATACCTGCAAGCACTACTTCAACCTCAGGAGCCCAGTTGATGCCCTGGAGCTGGAGGCTGGGAGGGAGCTGCACCCCTCCGTGCTGACCTCAGTGAGGAAGCTGCTCAGTCCCCAAACGCTTGTCACAGTAACACAGGACCCAAAGGCTCTTCCTCGACCGACACCCAGGGTCTGCCCGCAGCATGTTCAGATTTCTGTTTTCATGTTTCTTATTACAATGGTTATTAGTCCCTGTGCTCCTGGTGCGAGCTGGGAGGCGCAGCCCTAATTACAGACTGTAAAAACAACATTTTCCCTCTTACAGCCTGAATGGGTCTCACGGAAAGAACTGGGAAGTTTGTTATTTTGCTTGGTGTACCAAAATATGCCTATTAAATCCAGCAGATTGATAGAGGAAAACACCCACACTGACCCAGGCAGTGATGATAAACATCACGGCGCCTGTACGTCAGACAGCAGCCTGAAGCACTGAGCACTGGCCTCTCCAGACCCTGCTACAAGGCATCCATGCAACTCCTATTCACTTTTCTTAATTCGGAGTCACCTCAGCTGAAGGATTTTAAACTGAACACAGTATGTTTTCAAGAATATTTGAAAACATCACTGCCAATTCTATTCGAGACTAAGTATGCCTTTTAAAATTTTACAGGTTGTAGGGATGGAGACACGGCTCAGTGGTTAGGAACACTTACTGCTCTTCCAGAGGACCTGGGCTAGATTTCCAGTACGCACGCATGTCAGGAGGCTTGCAACCACTTGCAACTTTAGTTCCAGGGGATCCAATACCTTCACACATATGTTTGTCTACACACATACACATACAGTAATTATTTCTGTCGTACAGATAAATGTAGCTTACTCTCCCCCTCATCAAAGAAACTTCTCTTTTCAACAGAAAACTTGCAGAAAGTCACTGCCAGTCAATATATTTTAAAAAAACCCACAAAGGACGGTGGTACACCCAGCACCAGCAATTACACCTATAACGTAACTTCCGCACCTACAGCTCAGAGAACATCCAAAAGGAGGGGGCAGGAAGGGTGGCAGAACCAGAGAGCCTGGGAATCTCCTGCGAGACTGTGCCTTTTAGGGATGCAGGGAAACTTGACCCATGATACCTCAACAATATGGCTGCTGAAACAAGACCTGAACAGGTCCACTACCAACAGACACAGCAGCTAGAAGAGGAAGTCTCATGGGGCCCCACACCAGACAAAGAACTACAGGAAGCTAATGTCTGTTGAGAGAGAGAGAGAGAGAGAGAGAGAGAGAGAGAGAGAGAGAGAGAGAGAGAGAGAGCCTTCCTTCCCTAGGGATAAGCTCCCTAAATGGTTATCCGGCCCCAAGTGGTCAGCCCTATGTAAAGGAACTCCAGGATTCAGTATATGGTACCTTGATGTTGATCATCCTGCCTCAAAACCATGAGAAACTTGTTTATCTTGTTTAAGCCATTGAAGTCTGTTAGTATATCATCTCTAACTAATGAAAACATCATGGCACATGGGTCTGGGGATAGTCTGTTAAACATTTTTTTTTTTTTTTTTACCAAACTGCAGACTTTTAAGAGTAAATGTCTGCTACTGTTTTAGGAGTTTGGTAAAACTAACGTTGGTATCAGTCATTCTTGAGAATAGACTCAGGCTACTACTTTCTATCACTCCCTTCCCCCCAGAAAAGGTCAAGACTTGTCTCTGGGGCTGATGAGTTTTTCCAAAGTGGCTGTTGGGCTTAAGTTATTTAATGTTACCTGTGCATTAACTTGTAGGTACACACAGTAGGACCTCCTGGGGAGGGTCCGCAATAAACTGTGAGTGATTCAGTTGCAGATCTTTGATTGTGTATCCTGAAGACTGGCTCTCCTCATCTGTCACTATTATTTGATAATTTTACACATGTGAAGACTACATCTTGATCACGTGAACCCCCAGCTTCCCACCCCCATTCCGCGGCACCCTCGACACATCTGCATGAAAGGAGAACTTTCATGCCTCTCCACCGGCAATTAATGTTGCCTGTTGGAATGTGGAGGGCTATTGCTGACTTAAACTTGTGCAGGTAACCGTAGCTGCAGTGAGTGCCCAGAATCGGCGTTTCATAGCTCTTCCCCTGTCCTCCAGCTCTTGGCTCTTACTATTTTTTCTGCCGCCTCGCCTCTTCCACGTGTTCCTTGAGTCTCAGCGAGAGCAGGGAGGTTTTGCTATGGACGCTTTGTTTAGGGCTGAGCTCTCAATAATCGCTTGCTCTCTCAATACTCTGAGCAGTCAGCTTCTGCTCAGTGCAGGAAGAAACTTCTGGGCACGGTGGAGGACAGCACTAACCTGTGTATATAAGTGTAGTGGTTTCAAAGAAAATGGCTCCCAAAGGGCGTGACCCTATTAGGAGGTGTGGCTTTGTTGGAGTAGGCGTGGCCTTATTGGAGGAAATGCGTCACTATAGGCGCTGAAGTGTCTTTTGTTCATGCTTCCCACAGTGTGACAGTCCATTTCCTGTCAAGATGTAGCCAGCAGCATGTCTGCCTGCACACACCATGATGACAGTAGACTGAACCTCTGAAGCCGTAAGCCACCATCGTAATTAGATGTTTTCCTTTATAAGAGCTGCTGTGGTCATAGTGTCTCTTCACCGCAACAGAAACCCTAAGACAATAGGCATAAATATTTAGAAAGTGGTTTGACAACACATATATTTAGCAAGACAATAGTCATGGTTCCTCCCTAGGGCCTATGACCTCTCTACTATGTTAGACTTTAGACCAGATTTACAGTACCAGGCTTTGCATTCCTTCTTGTGATGTGGGACTCAAATTTAACCCCAAAGCATCTGGTTTCTTCCATAACCTTCATTTCGTTGTACCATTGGGAGCATCTTGCCTGGTAGTTTGGAATTTTAACATGCAGTTTGCTGGTCAATGCCATTGATTTTTCTCCCTCGGTGGTCTGAAAAGCATCTTCCCGCATCATGAAAGAGAGACAGCAGGGAGGGAGGTTTCAAGTCAGTTCCAGGCTGTGTCCTGCAAACCGAGTGTTGCAATCTCTAGTCACCATCTAGTTGTTGAGGGCAACCGAGAGCAACTGTGGCAAGAGCCTGCGTCTCACCAGCTTCTGCTCTTGCGGAGTCCACTTAGCAACTTCCCTGCAGCTAAAGCTCATTTTCCATTCCCACGGACCTTGGCAGTGCCAACCAGCCTCTTTCCTTTTGCTTTTGTCCGCTGACCATGAGCTGAGGAGGAAGCACACTCAGCATCGGGGTCATGAACTGGTATGCGTACTCAGGGCATCGAGTCTGAGGATGGGATTTGATTGGTTGAGAAGTGTGATCCATCCCATCTATGGGAGATGCCAGTTTTCCACTCCGGGTTTCCATTACATTTACATTCCATTCCATTCCATTACGTTTTCGGACGTTTTCAGATGTTGCCCACCATCAATGAAGCCATCGTGCTTGACTTTTACTCTCCTCATTTTTACTGCACAATTGCTGTGCTTGTTCACAGTTAGAAAAATATTTAGACAGCATTGTGAGAGAAAAGGATTCCTACAGGGGTGACACGCATTTCAAAGACAGTCATGGCAAGCACCATAGTAATTACCCACTTGAGCCAGAATTTCCTTTTCTGTTTGTAATTAATGTTGCTCCTTTTGAAGAGCAGCCTTGACACTTAAAGGCATAAATATTTCTTCAATGATTTCCTTAGTGAAGTCGAGTTCTTCTAAGCACTGGAATGTTTCAGTATCACTATTTACTCTCTTGCCAGTCTGCATAATCCTATTGCTGTGGGGACATCGGAAAAAAAAACTCAAATAAACAGGCTTCAGTCTGTAAATTATTTATGAAGTCAACAAGAACTTTGGGGGCCTTTTTCATGAGGACTAAAACATGATTTCAGTGCTTCAAATAAGCTGAGGTCCTCTCAGTGGGGTGTGCTAAAGAGAGGGATTTGAAGGTACGTGAGTGAATTGAGAGAAGTTGGACACTGCCCAGAAAGTCACCCAAGTCCTTTGAGTAGAATAAATGCTGCAGTGGAGAACAATTTCCTGTCAGTTTCTTTGATGTCAACAGAAGGAAGAGCAGATGCTGGCAGAGCGCTTTCCGAGGGATACGGGTAGGGCAGTCACCCTGTTCGTGGAGCCATCCATTATTCCACTTTGAATAAACACTGCCCCCCCCAACTCAGACACCCGCTAACCCAGGCATTTGCATCACCTCCACAGAAAACCTTGCATTGCTTTCATTAATTGCTAAGCCTGACAACTTTGCTGTTTTTAATTGATGTCTACTCTGGAAGACATAGTCCTTGGGGTTGCCTTAGAAGTAAGCCTCTTCGGGAGAGAAAGTACTATGCAAACACAGGGACTTTTTTTCCCTGCACTGTGGTCACGTGCATTTTGCACTTGGTAGGGCAGGGAGGGCCCTGCCGTCCCGCGACAGTGGATGGAGGGTTACATTATTTAACGGCAGGAGACAATGCGCTTGCCGTGGCTGAAATGGAAAGCGCTCTTGGCAGCGCCGGGTCAAGACAGTCATTTAAGCTGAAAGATTGAGGGTCGTACACCATCTGGAGAGATTCACTTCTGTTGAGATCCCTTCAGCCTCCTCATACGAATTCTTGTAAAGCAGACCCATTATTGCTTCCTTCGGTTTCAGTTAAGGAATGCATGCATCCCTGAGATTGGCTGCTGGCTGTTGCTGATGTAGCAGTGGCTTCTAACCATTTTGACATAAAATGAACAATTGCAAACTAGCCCGGGAGCTTTACTGTATTCCGTTGCTGTTTAGTGAATGACCACTGGTCAAAAAAAATCATCATGAGATTTACACTTGTATTTTGGTATTTGGGGCTCTAGTGAAAAATAGAATATAGGTAACAAGAACCACATAGGGAATGAAAAAAGATTGATCTTGATCTCACAGCTGCCTGGGCACATCTGCCCCTCAGAGCTCTAAGTGAATAAGTGATCACACGCAGGCGTTTGAACAGATGAAATGGTAGAGAACATTGAAGGAGACAGGTTAAAGTCAACACTGGCTGCAGTCATGGGTGCTTCCTGTGTGTCTACCAGACATAGCTGTGTTTCTAGGGCTCTTGTCAGCCACCAAAGCCGTGCTGACCAGCCTTTGGGAGTGTCTGGGGCTTAGCGTGGGTGACTTTGAGAACGGGCGGTTGTCTGCTTTGTCAGAAGCCTGGGGCACAGGTGCCGTGCTCCTTTTGTGATCTGCCCTCACCTGCTGCGGCCTGCTGTCAGCACATATCAGCTGTAAGTACCATTAATGACTCAGTCATGCCATAGGACTTTGGCCGAATATCAATCAGTCTTTGCCTTTCTGGGATTTGCAGAAGAAATTCCATTAATTCTCAGCCTTCTTAGTCACCGCTGACCCAGCACCTGCGGGTCAAGGCACCGTGGTTCTCAGACCTTATCTACAGAGGTCAGGTGCTGTTGGTGGCACCATTTGCAACTCGGGGCCAACTTTCAAGCAGCGAATTAGCTCTAGTTGTTAAATTTTTGTAATTTATCAAGAAAAAGAAAGGAACTGAATCGAGGACATGTAGGGCATCCTAGCAAAGCAGGACAGAAGCTGAGCGAGGATGCTGAATACGGGCCATGCTCTGTCTGCAGAACGGAGGCTGGCATAGTGCTCAATACGGGCCATGCTCTGTCTGCAGAACGGAGGCTGGCATAGTGCTCAATACGGGCCATGCTCTGTCTGCGGAACAGAGGCTGGCTGCTGAATATGGGCCACGCTCTGTCTGCGGAACAGAGGCTGGCACAGTGCTGAACACAGGCCGTGCTCTGCCGACATTGCCACCCTGATTCGGGAGCTGTGGACTGAAGTGGGTCACAGCTTTTTCCCTTCTTGTCATCATCTGAAGATAAATGTGAGTTGGCCACGAGAGAGGCTCTGCTCTGGTCCCTGAGCCCGGTGCCAGGCACGTGGTGATGCTCAGGAGGGCAGCTGACGCAATGGGCCTCCCTGAGCAGGATGCTGGGGTGGGAGGGCAGCCGTGATGCAGAGCTGGCTCTGGGTCCTCTCACATCCAAGGCCCAGCTTTGACCTTAGCCACGTTTTCAAGGCAGTGCTACTCTGACCCCTTCCCGGGGCTCCCTGACAAGGAGTCATCTCTGCTCCCTCCCGGGCACATTCTGTCTTCTCAGAACCTCTGGTGGGTGCCCCCTGCAACTTTTAGTCAGAGAATTCGTTGGGCATGTGCTCCTTGGAGTTTATACAAAAACAGACTGCAGAGAATGGAGCACTCGGCTATGTAAATACATGAATTCTGGCAAATGCAAGAACCACACAGCATCCATTTTCCTGGATGCCCCTCTCACAGAGACACTTGACAAGGTGTTCGCTTGGGAAGGAAACAGAAAGAAACAATGCACGTAGGAATGGGGCTAATGAGAGTCACGGGAACAACACGGCACCTGTAGATATGCTGGGAGGGACAGGAACAGAGTAGAGGGAGACGGGGACAGGGTCAGGGACAAGAGAATGAAGTCTGTGGATATCCCAACATTCCCTAGTTAGTCTATGGCTGCAATGCAAACACAGCACTTAAAAGGCATTAAAGAAAGCAAGGTATTTGAAAGGAAGATAGTGGGGAGGCATATGGGCAAGATCCTAGGGAACCCCAAAATAGAAGATGACGGAGAGTCAAGCCCTTAGTGCTGTGTACATACAACCTGGTTCAGGCCCAGACACGCTGGGACACAAAGTTAGCTTCTTTCAGGGAAAGCTGCCAGAATTCACCCAAGGATGTTTTGAAACAGCTTTTCAAGGATGGATACAAGGGGCTGAAGAGACACTCAGTGGTTAAGAGTACTTGTTGCTCTTGCAGAGGACCTAGGTACTAAGGAAGACCCAGGTTCAGTTCCAAGCATCCACACACCAGTTCATTGTCATCCATTAACTCCAGTTCCAACAGTACCAACATCCTCTTCTGACCTTTACAGGTGTAAGGCACCAACATGGTACACAAACACACATGCAGGCAAAACACTGATGCACATGAAATAAATAAATCTAAAAGCATGTTTTTTAAAAAAAGGATATGACTTTAAGAAATAAGTCAGTTTGACCTCTTGATAATCTTTTGATGCCTAAGCCTAAAAATCCCCCCAGGCAGAACGCAGTAGGCTCTCCTCCCTTGAAGAGGAACTATCAGGAGGCCTGATGGCTGTCTATACTTGTGCAAACCCTAGAGCTCTCCTAGTGTCCATATGCCTAGCCATCAGCTTCGCCCCCTCTCTTCCCACAGGTCTCCTTGCTACCTAACAGTGGAAGAATCAGCATTGAGCTCTGGTTCCCATCTTCTGGTCAACTTCCCAAGCAAGCTTTTTCTTTTTGCAAAAGCCGGTGTCGTGGTGTTGGCTTTCATGCACCCTGTGCAGCTGGCCCTCACTCAATAATGCACAAAGGGGTTTGGAAGCAGAAGACTGAAAACATAGAGGAACAGGAAAGAACGGAGTCAAGGAGAAGTCTGGATCCCGAAGGAGTAAGTTTGTAAGAGATGAACGGAGGAATTATGCTGTGTGTTCTTGGGGTAACTGGGTCACATTATTGACAGAGCATGTGTGGGAGGTAGCCTCGGTGTGTGATGGGGTTATACGGCTGATGGCCGTATCAGCATGGGAAAGGGTCACATGTAGGGGGGTTGTATGGCTGATGGTCCCTGAGTGCCATACGCACATCACCAGAGAGTGACTGACAATATTCTGACTCTTAGGCTATTTGGTAGTTAAATGAGATCAACGGTCTTGCCTGTGACGCTGTAAGAACCACATCAAAGGCTATAAGTTCAGCCCAGAAGCCAACAGCTCTCCATGGAAATAAAGAGAGCAAGATGCGGCCGGGGAATGAGTGCCTGGGCTTGTCCTTGGAGCAATGGCAGGTGCAGTTCCACACGCACTGACTGCAGATGGCTTTGATGATTCAGACTGTCCCTTGTCCACCAACAAAGGCCTTCCTGGGCACACTGGACAGCATCATGCCTTTGGCTTTGCCCTGGGTTTGTTCAGCTGAGCTAAAGGAGGAAATGCAACAAAATGTGAGCAGAAGAAATATTTTGGGGTTCTTTGCTAAAGAAGGGAGAAGAATTGCTGATCTTATGAGGAAACTTTGCTCTTTGAAGACTTTTAATGCTAATTTTGCAAATTTAGAAATCTTAGCTGGCTAGGCAAAATTTGAACGGAAGTCCAAAGTTCTGGGGCAGAACTGAATCCCAGCCAGCCATGCCTTATGATCTCCCAGCACAGAATCATGCAGGGCAGATCCTCAGTGTTTAGGAGACTGCTGGTGAGGTGCTGTGTTTATCATAAACAAGGGGCTTAAAGGAACATGGTGACCTCTGAGGCTATAGCAGTAGAGATTTGAGAGCCATGTTTGGAACCCCTACCCCTGGAATACAGTGAATAATCAAATCAAACAAATGAAGCCCACCAACCGACCAGCCAGGCAATGAACCCACCCACTAGCCAACCAGCCAATCAAAACTCAGGGGAAGAAACCTACACACACACACACACACACACACACACACACACACACACACACACACACACACACACACACATATACACACATACACACACACACACACACACACACACACACACACACACAGGCATGTACCCAGAAGGAACACATGTTGCTAGATCTTTTTGCTGACTGTGCTGCAAACGGGACTAGACCAGAGCTGCATCCATCCACAGTCTCTGGAGACTGTGTCCCGAGCTCTGAATAAAGAAGGGCTTTGGAAGCTTGGCCCTCAGCCCATTTGGAGGCAGGTAGGCTCTAATCACTGTAATGGTCCCCGTCAGGATGAGGGGGACACTTGGATGTGCAAAATGGGGATTTTCAAATAAAAGGGGGTGCAAATTCCACTTAGACAATTCCACTTAGAAAAGGCAGAAGTGTAGTATCCATTCCACCGGCAAGGGCAGAGCTGCGGTGAGCTGCGTTCATAAGGAAAATCAGTGACAAGGGAGGTGAAAGGGGGTCAAAGCAAACACCCAGAGATGGCAGAGAGGACAAAGGGTGCAGGAAGGACCACGAGGAAATGGATTATAAATAGCAGGCCGAACAGCCCACCGATGGAGTGACGCGCAGCAACACACTGCAGAGAGGAAAAGCAGAGCCGCATAAATAAGTCTGGGAAGCGTTTCCAGATGCTGGACCAAAGAGAAAGGATAAAGGGATGAAGCGCTGAGGCTGACAGCCCAGAGAACAAAACCCAAACACTCACAGTGTTTACAGACACCCAGGAAAACATTTCTGTAACTCAAAATGCAAGGAGACACACACCTGCTCTGGGGGAGGATGGGTGTGGCCATTTGGCTGCAAATCTGGAACTTGGCTCCCTGAGGATGCTAGGGTGTCCAGTTTCCTTGATAGAGTCAGGAGGAGTGGATGATATAAACCGTGGACAGGCTGCCTCTGTACTGGGTGACCCTCCAGGTGCTCGTCCATCCCAGGAGGGGGACACGGCTGCCTCTGTACTGGGTGACCCTCCAGGTGCTCGTCCACCCCAGGAGGGGGACACGGCTGCCTCTGTACTGGGTGACCCTCCAGGTGCTCGTCCATCCCAGGAGGGGGACACGGCTGCCTCTGTACTGGGTGACTCTCCGGGCAGGGTGCTCGTCCACCCCAGGAGGGGGACACGGCTGCCTCTGTACTGGGTGACCCGCCAGGTGCTCGTCCACCCCAGGAGGGGGACACGGCTGCCTCTGTGCTGGGTGACCCTCCAGGTGCTCGTCCATCCCAGGAGGGGGACACGGCTGCCTCTGTGCTGGGTGACCCTCCAGGTGCTCGTCCACCCCAGGAGGGGAGCACTGGCTGCCTGTTGAGCCTAGTTTGTGTGTCAGGTGCTCCGGCATCACAGTGTGCTCCTCCATTCACTACTGAAGGACGTTCTAGCTGTGCCAGGTTTGGCTGTTTCAGAGTCTCCCTGTGCTGTCTGGGCTAGACCAGTTTCAAACTCATAATCCTCCTGCCTCTGTCTCCCCGGCATGTCAATGTACCGACCAAATCTGCCAATTATGTGTGAAGTTGGCAGAAACATCTGTGTCCATGGTTAGTGTAGAAATGGGTTTCCACTATCTTGGGTAGTGCCCAGGGGCCAGATTGCTGGATATGCGGTGAGAGTATGCCGAGTTTTGTAAGAGATGGCAGGCCTGTGTTCTGGAGCTCTACTCGGCCTCTCACTAGCCCTGGGTGGGCTCCCTCACGGTTTGCCGTCCTCACCAGCACGAGTGTTGCTTGTCTTCCAGATCCAGCTCTGCTAATAGGTGTGTGGCAAAGGCCGTTTGAAAGGCAGCAGATAAATAGATGAATGAATGAATGAATGAATGAATGAATGAACGGTGCATGTCCTTTAGATGCCTATCCCCATAAGGGTAGCCGGTAAGGCGATCCATCACCCCTGCAGGGGCAGCAGCTGTGCTATCTTGGGTAGAGTATCATGTTACCTCTCCTCCAGGCAGCTGAGCTCTGTGAGGACCATGTTTCTCTGCAGCTGGTGTAAGAAGGAGGAGACTCTGGGGTGAGTGACACACATGGTTATTGTCCCCACCTTGTGATCCTATGGACACAGAGGTCGTGCTGGCAATTGCCGGTGCAGACATTTCAGGGATGAATCCCCAGAATCGTCTATGTCTCCTCCCTCTGTCTTGGGGTCCCTAGTCCCTCAGCAGCAGCCTCACTCAGGTATTGTAGCCCAAGCAAGGAGAAGATATGACCCATCCGGTGGGGACAGTCAACGCAAGACCAGGGACGCCTAGGAGAAAATGGGGGGGGGAGGGGTGCAAGGAACGGACAGCAAGTCAACATGGCTGATCAAGCTGCCGACCGTTACTCTTTCCATAGGCGGGAAGTGAGGAGGGGAGGGAGTGGGGTGTTGACTGCAGCTGTGAGGAGGCTGTCGGGGTAAAGGTCAGTGGGAGAGGCCATCCTGTGTCACCTGGTAACCTAACTGCAGGTTCCAATTCCATCTTTCACAATCTATCCTCTGTCGCTCAAGCCTATCGCCGGAGGTACCTGGTCCTTTTCCCTAGGCTTAATCTTTGACTGACAGATGAGCCACGAGCCTGTTTCTCGGAACTTGCTTCATATCTAAGGAGGTGGTATTTCTTCAAGGTGGTCTGGGGTCACGTCCTCCACGTGACAGGGTGAACGGGTTTCTAAGTAACCAAGCTGCAGGAAGGAGAGATGTTAAGTGACCCAGCTGCAGATTGCTATCAGCTATTCCTGTGAGCCCTAATTCTATTTGTCAAGGAGTTGGAAAGGGCAGGGAGGTTGATAACAAAATGGGCTACACTTGAAAGAACTGGTGGTATTTACAAGAGGTCCTAAGTAACAATGACCGCTCCCCACACAGATAGAAGGCCTCTTACCCAAGGCCTAAATGTTTAATGGACCGTTTAAGACACAACACTGTTAAGTGAAATCGACTTCCTCCTAATGACATTGGAAAACATACACGGGCCTCAGAAGTCTTGCTTTTCATGCTTTTCCACTGTTGATGCCTAGGCACAGGCCCAGACCGCAGTGAGAGGAGCTGGCCGTGTGGTTACTATGCTCAGAACAGGTTAGCCTCATGTAGCCAGAGAGGCCGACTGCCATAAGAATTCACCAGGCTTTCCGGGAGCAACTGGAGTCTTGGTTTTCACGTTACAAACCAGTTTTCAGATTGCCTCAGGAAACCTGTTAGACGCCACCTCTGTGGTCCAGTCTGGTTCTCAAACTTCTATTTGTCATTTTGACTTAATGCCAGATCTGGATGCTCTCCCTGGACACCTGCCTCAGGTCCAGCTCCAGTGAAGCCAGAAGGACAACCTGGTTACAGCGACCGGAATGCGAGTCGCAGGCACGGCATGGCTGCTCACAGTCCTGTTCCGTGTGTGCTCCTCTCAGGAGGCTGAGAGGGAGACGTATGGGGTGCTTTCTTGGCCCTGGTCTGATGGAGGACTGATGTTGGTGGGATTTGGGCCTTGACTTCTGCTGGCTAGCTACCCTGTGCTGCCTGGCAACTGCGTGAAGAACGAGAACCTTATTATCCCTTCAGAACTTGATGAATATTGCCAGCCATTAAAGCAAAGTCCCTGACGAACAATGGTTTGGAATATTCCACTTTGTGACTATGCCTTTGGTGGAATCTGCACTTTAGGGTCTGACTTTGGATCTGCTCCTGATCCTCTCATGATTCTGGATGGTTGCAGATCCAACGTCTATGGCTGTGACGTTGGAAGGGAAGGTGCAATAAATGCATTTTCCATTTAATGCTATTTTCAAATTAGAGTGGGTTTCTTGGGGCACAACTTCAAGGTCAGTCCAAGGTCATCAGAAATGGAAAGGAGGGGAGGCTATGGAAATGCCTTCTTCAGAGTTGGGGAAGAGATGCCCTTCTGCCCATGGCTCTAGACTTCCCTTGGTTGAGGTCCAGGGTTGACCAGTTCCCCGAGTCTGCTTTGCTCCAAGCTGAGTCTGGGTTTCCAAATGATAGGGGGACGCAGGAGAAATGTATTGGGAACTCTGACCGTTGTTTTGGACAGAGAAGGGCTGCCAGCCTGCTTGGTCCCACCATGGTCTGCTTCCCACTATGTGCTGGCTAGTTCTGTCAACTTGACATGAACTGGGAAGTCCCTTGGGAAGAGGGAGCCTCCATTGAGGAATTGCCTCTATTAGACTGGCCTGTGGGACATTTCTGATTGTTGATTGATGTGGGAGGGTCCCCTTCACAGTGTTTGGCGCAATCCCTGGGCAGGTAGGTCTGGGTAATGTAAGAAAAGTAGTTGATAAAAACTAGGAGAAGCTAGCCAGGAAGCTGCATTCTTCCGTGGTTCCCTCTCTGTTCCTGCTTCCTGCCCTGACTGTCCTCGGTAATGGCTTGTGATCTGGAAGTTCTAAGAAGAAATAAAGCCTTTCCTCAAGTTGGTTTTGCTTAATGTTTTATCCCAGCAACGGTGAAGCAAACTAACACACCCGGAGAGACCTGGTGAATTTTCATCAAATTGGGTTAGGCCTGGCAGGGATTCTATTGAAACCTCAGAAAACTTGTCTCCGAAAACTCATTGCCTCTCAGATCCTAGGAGACAACTATTTTTAGGGAGTGTTTTGTTTTCAAAGGCGCACTGCTGTTCTGAAGCCAGCTGGGGGCTCATCTAATCAAGACTCACTTGGGAGTGTTTATGCTAATCCCCAAAGCCAGCCTCCTCTATTTGGAATCAGCTCCCACTTTCTCCTCCTAGCCTTTTTGGCTGTGGGAGAAGCAGGTGCCTGGCACACAGGGCCACTGTATTCACTGTTGTCATCACCGTCACATGCCTTGGGCGTCCTTTAAAGGAGCCCTGCCATAGGGCTTAGCGGTAAGAGTCTTCAAGAGAGTCTCACTCATACCAGTCATGCATTTTACATGCTTTGACCTGTGTGTGGGGTATTGAGTTAGAGACTCACACACACACACACACACACACACACACACACACACACACACACGTGAAAAGAGAGATCTGTTCCACGTCATTCTATGCTTCTAATACCACATCCATCCAAGAAATCTTTGCTGCGACAGGCTTTCCTTAGCTATACTTTAGACAGACTCCCCTGTCCCCTTTTCATTAAGCTTGACCTTGGCCATCCATCTCCCAAGTCTAGCTTTAGCAATATGCTTTTGTCAGCTTGACACAAGGAGGAGTCATCTGGGAAGAGGAACCTCGGTTGAGAAAATGCTTCTATCAGAGAGGCTTGTAGGCCCGTCTATGGAGCATTTCCTCCATCAGTGATTGATGTGGGAGGGTCCAGACCTTTGGGTGGTACCATGCCTGGCAGACGGTTCCAAGCTGAATCAGAAAGCAGGCTGAGCACATCCTGGAGGGCAAGCCAGCCAGGAGGCAGCGCTCCTCCACGCCGTCCACTCCGTTCCTGCCTCCACGTCCCTGCTTTGAGCTCTTGCCTTGGCTTCTCTTGATAGTAGACTGTGATCACAGGTGAGTTAAACAAACTCTTTCCACACAAAGTTGCATTGGTCACTGCCTTTACCACAGTCATGGAAAACAAACTAGGGCAGCAGCTTTTTTTTTTTTTTTTTTTTTTTTGATGCTGTGACCAAACCCCTGACAAGAAGCAACCTAAAGGAGGAAAAGCTTATTTTTGCTTGGCCAGTTTACGAAGAGATGTGCAGCAGGGGCATGGCCGCAGGAACAAGAGGCACCTGATGAGGACACATCCTCAGTCTGGAAGTGGGGCGCAGACAGGAAGTGGAGGTCACATATAAACCTCAAGACCCACGTCCGGAGGCCCATCTCCTTCTGTAAGGCTCCACTGCCCTAAGGTTCCACAACCCCCACCCCACACCCCGAAGCCACCATCTGGGGACCAAGTGTCCAAACACCTGAGTTCATGGAAGATAAGTCACACTCAAATCACAGCAGGATACATCCTGCTAAGGCAATTTAGAGAGGGCCATTCTGAATATCTGGACAGGTTCCCCATCCGCCATAACTCCCCACATGATGTCTAACCACCCAGCCTCCATTCTGCAAGAATACTGCCAGCAGGTTAACCAGCATCCCCCCTACCTCAAAGTCTATGCTTGCTCATTTTCTGTCTCCTGCCTCCAACCTCTCACCCTGGTTTTGCTCTGTTTAGAACTGAGCTGAGGTGTTTTTTTTTTTTTTTTTTTCGAGACAGGGTTTCTCTGTATTGTTTTGGAGGCTGTCGGTCCAGCCCGGCCTCGAACTCACAGAGATCCACCTGCCTCTGCCTCCCGAGTGCTGGGATTAAAGGCGTGCACCACCACCGTCCGGCCTGAGCTGAGTTCTATGCTGAGGTCTCCATTAAGCTACCGTTTGGCTCAGGTCCTCTTCAGCAGCTGTGAGACAGACACTGCTCCTCTGGGCAACTGCTATACCTTTGTGATTGAAAACATGTAACGCCCAGCGTGTTCCAGCACCAGCTGAGGGCCTTACAACTCAATTAAAATCTGACTCCAGCTTTCTAGAGACCCAACAAATTAAAGGGCAATGTACCAGCTTCAGATGCCAGTCACGAGTGTAGTCCCTACCTTCCTTCCAGCTGCCTGCAAAGTCAGATGTTCTCACAGTCCCCTCGTGGCTTTGTTAATTGACTAAAACTACTTATAGAGCATGAGAACGCCCTACGTTGAGATGACCATCTTATTACAAAGGCTAAAGATGAGTGGCTGATGAATGAATGGGGCTACATCTAGGAGGCCCTGAGCCCAGGACCCTCAGAGGTGGAGTGTGTCAGTCCCACCGACATGATCACCGTATGGCAAGCTGTAAGAGAGGGCAGAGAGGAAAGGTTTCTTTTGTTACTGGTCTCAGAGGTTTCCACCCACTGTGGCAGTACGACACAGCAGCCCCACGATGATGGACAGGAAGCAGAGTGGAGAGCACTCTCCCACCGACCACCCTGCCTCATGTATCTCCGCCACTTTCCAACAGTCTGTTTTGCTTTTGATTCTGTCATTGGATGAACCCATTCCTTAGGATGTAGCCCTCAGGAGCTGATTATCTCTGGAAATGCCTTTGCAAACACACTGTAGGTGAACTTTAATAAAGTTCCCAGGCATTGTCAGTTTAACCAAGTCAGCCATCAAGGTTAACCATCACAATGTCTTCCCAACCACTGAGCTACTAGGAGTCATATCAATGACACACAAAGATTCAGATATTCATTACTGGGAAATTCTAGGGCCCTTCAAAGTCTATTTCAAACATCAGGGACAAAGACCAGATATCTTCTTTAATTTTATCACAGCTCTAGAAAGAGGCAAGGTATAAACTGAATGCACTATTTATTTCCTTTCTTCCATGAGTTTTATTTTTTTTAATGTGTGTGTGTGTGTGTGTGTGTGTGTGTGTGTGTGTGTGTGCATGCGCGCGCGCACGTGCGTGCGTGCTTATAGGATAGGGAGTGCATATATACACACAAGCCAAAGGCCTGCGTTGGGCGACTTCTTTTTTAATGCCTATCTTATTTTCAAGGCAGGGGCTTTCACTGACTCTTTAGCTCACTGATTTGTCTAGGCCATGCAAGTCCCCGGGATCTTCATCTCCAATGCCCAATGCTGAGAATACAGGAACATGCTTGTCTCGTCTAGTTTTATGTCAACTTGACACACTCTGGGTCATCTGGAAGGAGGGAACCTCAATTAAGAAAATGCTTCCATGGGATTAAGTTGTAGGCAGGCCTGTAAGGTATTTTCTTAGTTAGTGATGGATGAGGAAGGGCCCAACATACATTGGGTGGTTTCATCCCAGGGCTGGTGGTACTGGGTTCTATAAGAAAGCAGGCTGAGCAAGCATTGAGGAGCAAGCCAGTAAGAAGCACCCCTCCATGGCCTCTGCATCAACTCCTGCCTCCAGGATCCTGCCCTGTTTGAGTTCCTGTCTGATGTCCTTTGAGGATGAACATTGACATGGAGGTGAAAGCCAAATAAACCATTTCCATCTCAACTTGCTTTTTGGTCATGGTGTTTCATTGCAGCAATAGAAACCCTGACTAGGACAATGCTGCTGCTTTTGGCTCTTTACCTGGGTGCTCTAGGTTCAAATTCAGGTACATTCACTAGGCCAGTTTCCCATTCTTTTGAATTTTATTTCTTTTTCTTCCCCCTTTAATCTTCCCTTTCTCTGTGATGCTTCCTTTAAAAAATAGCTGTCCCTGGCCTTGAGAGATGATTCAGTGGTTAAGAATCCTTGTTCTTGCAGAAGACCTGGGTTCAATTCCCAGCACCCACATGGTAGCTCATGACTCTCTGTAACTTCAGTTCCAGGGGATCTGGTGCCCTCTTTTGGCTTCTGTGGGCACCAGGTATACACATGGTGCAGGATATACATGCAGGCAAATACTCAAAAGCATAAAGTAAAATCTATAGACATTCTATTAAGCTGTCTCAGTTCTAGGAAAGGTGACCTCACATTGACTCATTGAGGAAGATTAGTGAGACACTGGTTTATTTGTTACTATAGGAAACAGTTTGTGAGAATTTAAATCACTCTCCTAAAAAAGAAAAAAAGGCTCTAAGAACTTGGGACCACAACCAAACCAAACCAAACCAAACAGCAGCAACAACAA